GACCAATTCGTATTTTGATAGGTGCCTTATCAGTTGTGCATGACAAAGAAAATATATACAAATTAATTTATTTATTGGACTCTTCTTATTGACAATCAATCAATTTGTAAATCTTGATACCTCTTCTCGTAAACTGGCAATTATAATACACGAGTGTAAAGTGAGCATTTAATTTGCAGAAAACTATTTTTTAGCATCCTATCCTAGAAAGTCTTTTTATAAATAACTTGAATTTCTGAAAATGCTCTAAATATATCCATAAAACAATTGTTTATTATAAAGGAAACTTTCGCTAACCGATATAGGCATCACGAGTGGTTCCACTTGGTATGTGGTAGTCAACTTCAGCGTTTTTAAAGAAGTGAAATTCTCGCACAGTATCGAAGAGAAAATCGCCGAAATACTCATCCACATACGTTTTCAGGATGCGCCGGTCAAACTCATCGATGGCTCGTCCGCCATACATGACTTCACCAATAAGGTATTTAAGAGTGTTCCATGGTATCCGCTTGTCGGCTTCTTCCACCGCTTTGTTCATATAAGTGACTAAGATGCGCAAGCAAACACGGAAATCAGACTCATTAAAGTCATACGGAATGTTCCATCCAAGCTTGCCGTACTTGCGGCGCTCTTGAACCACGGCATGAAAGAAGGCCAGTGTGAAGACTAATGGTGAAAAAGACGGATGGTGGCAGGTGATAAGAGTCTGTGCGGTGACATTCTGCAATGTTGAGCGCAGATTGAGTCGTAGGCCATTTGGTGGCTCAGTTACAACCTTAAGGGCACGTTGTAAAAGGCCGATCGGAAAAGCTGTGGTTGGTTCAGTCGTCAACCAGAGCCGGAAGTCAGGGTGTGGCTTTACCAAACAGTCCAGATGATGCTCAAGGTCACGCAACCAACTTACAAGAAGATGACAATTCTGCAGCATCAACCAGTAGCCTCGGGAACTTGACATTTCCAGCAAGGCCTGCGCGTTAGCCTCTTGTCCCTGACCCATTGACAACATGCGCAGTCTGCTTGCATCAAATCCTATACGATCTGCTAACTTGACCAAATCACCTGTCGGGTCAGCGCCTGGACTTAAGATGAAGATAATCGGTGCTTTTGGACTAGTCTGATCGTGCAAAGCCTCCAGATTGACGAGTGGAGAGGTTACGAAAGCCTCTCCCATAATTCCGGTGACATAATTGGTGGCTGCAAGGTGAATTCGGTCTACTCGAAGGCACCGCAACAGACAAAGCTGCTGGAATGTTGAAGCGCGAGTTGAGTAACCACAAGGTAGTGTCAAGGCCTCTGGAGTCTCACTTTCAAACCACTGAGCAAAAAAAAGCAGAGGTTTGTACACAAATTGACAACAAGCTAAAGAGTTTACCTCAGAAGAATAGATTCAACACGTAAATGGTATATAATATGAGGAGTGGGCAAGACATAGGCGGGTAGAAATAAAAATAGATTCTGTAGGCGAATTTATAAATCCAATGTGCAGGCGCTTGCATCATCGATTGAAAGATGTAAATTGGCCTCCGATTGAAGAACTTAACCGAAGGATTAACCTACTCCCAATTCATTGTATATATTAAAATAATTAAAAACCGTCATCTGTTCATGTTAGCTAAGCTACTTCGGTACCTGAAGGAAACCTGTATGCTTTTACCTAAAATACATCGAAGGTCGTGAAAAAGTTTGCTTTCTTAATGAATTCATTAGCAACACTTGCCCTCAATTTACGTCTTCAGAATTAAAGTTATCTGAAGTTAGGCGAAAATATATTCGGTAAACTTAGATGGAACGATGTCATTTAGGCCAACAAAATTGGAGGATATAAGTTCAAAATAGAGATAATTTATTAGCCCTTGAGCACTGACTGGGTTACTATGCCCTAACCCATACTGAATTCTCTCTTCAAAATTGGTCGAAAATGAAGAAGCGATTTTTGTTTAAATTAATCCCTTCAGGAGAATTAATTTTCAAGGAAAAAAATGTATCCAGACACGAAGCTCCAGCCCTAATATGGTAAATAAGCAATTGCTGTTATTAATTTAAAAGTTTTAAAAATCTAGTTCAAGACAATGACATAACAATAATACATAAAATATTAGTACACATTAGAGATGGTAACTGGGAGCTAATTTCCGATGTAAATTGTTCATATTTTAAGATTAAGTATCGAGTCTTTAACTTTTCTCTTGAGAACACTTAACTTGTGGTGCCATGCAAGTTTTTGAACAAAGGCATGGGTAAACCAATAGCTTTATCAAATAGATTATGCATCTCGGCAAATAAAAAAGCATTTTTGGACGCTAATCTGGGGAAAGGAATTAAGCTGTCTGCAACTTTGATTACTTACTAGATTCAGGCCTAAAACAATCTTAGTAGATTGGGAAAACTACTAAGGATTTTATAGAAAATCGCTCCAATTGACCAAAAGGCAATAAATTACTCGCAATATCTGCGTATAACATAGTAAAAAGTTAGTGAGTTTTGCGGAAGTATCTGAGGAAAATCGAAAATGGATTCGATAATTTAAAACCCACCCGCTATTTCGCAATCGTATACGAATTAATGAACATAGAAGAAAACAAGTATCAAATTTTCTAGAACTTTGTGAAAAGGATAAAGAAACTACAAATATAAAAATGAGAAAGGAATGATGCATGCTATTTACATATAACTACAC